TTCTGTTCGCGGAAATCAGCTGGTATAAGAATAGGCAAAGCGTACTTCACTATAGTACTGAAGTACTAGATTGTGACAGGGTAAAATACACCGACTAGGAACCTTTGACATGAGTGAGAGCATATTTAGATTTATCAGTTTGTACGAGTCATTACATCTTTGTCCTTTATATTCCTATGATTATTTCACGACGATTCTTTATTTTTCATCTAATTAGAAAGTCATGGAAGCTATTGAATTAATAATTGTGCACAAATATAAGTTATAAGACAGCTTAAAACCAGATATATTTTTCTTTGGGAATGCACACTTAGTGGAAGATTATCTTCCATGGATTGCCTAAATAAATTTTTTGAGGAAAACTTTCAGGACCTATTGTTTAGCCACAATAACATTTTTTTCAACTTAATTTTGTGTGCATGTGAACAGGCCAGTGGTAACTAAGATTTTATTTTCAATCCGGACATTGGATAAAAGTGAAATGCTTGTTTTTTACTTTGTGATTTTTAAGTAGGAAGCAAATAGAACAAATGTAAAGACAACCACTTTATGACTCGTACAAACTGATAAATTAAAAAAATGTTGTAAATGTGTCTCATCACACGGACAATAGTTGTTATTTCCTAAGTATAATGTTGGAGTCTGATTGAAGTACATAAAAAAGCGAAAAGATAAATATTAATGAATACAACAGACTTTAAATGCTGCTAGATGACATTAAAAACACAAATCAAACGGTTATGTCACTTGAGGTTTATGAAGAAAGCGGACCTGCTAGTTAATGTGAAGCACTCATATGGAACGGGAACCTTTTTATACATTCAGAAACGTATAATATTTGCATGGATTTGTTAAACCCCAGTCCACCCAACATATGCAAACCTGCGTTCAGCTAGGCCAAAATTCCACTTCGTATTACTAGTAAAGGAAGTGATAAATGCTGATGTTCGTCAGTGCTTTAAAGTCCTGTTGTATTATGCGTTGAGATAGGGCATTATAGCTTATGAAACGCAATTTCGCTGTCAAATGTTTAAAAGGTAAGTTACATATCTTTTTATGCTCAGCTGTTTAATCACATGGTGGAAGAAAAATAAAAATGTTGAGCATAAATCTGTTAAAGCAAAACAGAAATCACGGCTTAAACAGACGGGCTTAAAAAAGTAGCACACAAGCGAAGCTCATTAATTGAATTTCGAAGGTTAAACGGAAGATATTACCTTAATGCACAAGAATAGATAATTTGCCTTACTCGGCAGGAATACCCCTTATTTAGCGGAACCCCGAGCCCATGTTGGCTTTTTGCACTGATGACCTGAGGATACCTAAAACAGTCGAATGGAATATGAAGGATGTTGTGGTCTCTGCAATTTAAATACAAGCGCCACCATGCC